CGGGCGGCGCCGTCCATGGCAGAGCTCACTGTGGCCGGTCGCTAGTCGCCGTGGCCGACCTGACGGCGGCGTTGTAGGGCGCCAGGGGTGGCTTGGAGCGTTCTGGTGAGTGGATGAGGCCGGGGTGTGGCTCTACAGGCGAGCAAGGGCCAGGGGCGCGACGCGGCGCCTCGGGCGCACGCGCGTGCAAAAACGCACGCTCTGGGCGCGCCGAGCGCACGCACGCTGCGTGTTCGGCAGAATGCCAGCGCATGCTAGGATGCTTGGGTGGAGTTGGGGATTAGCAGGTCTAGGCTAGGGTTTGCAAGGAGATTAGTGGACAAGCTTGTTGGGTCAGAGGATCAAGATCACAATGCAAACCAAAATTCATGCACTCAAGGTGTTTGCCAGAATGCCAATGGCATCTAGGCAACTCTTGGGGTGGCCCAAATTTCCAGATTAGGGTCTCTTTAGATGATACAGAGGGTGGTGAGGTTAGTTTGCCAAAAGCTCAAACTTGTTAGTGTAAGTTTTGCAAAACTCCAGTTCTAGACAGAAGGAAAAGGGCATAATTTCATGAACCAAAAGTGCTCCAATGAGTCCAACCTCCTGGACTTAAGGGTTTGGTATGGTGTACTACAAGCAGGAGAAAGCTCATGGTCACTAGAGCAAAATTTAATAGGGATGCAGTACAAATCACCAAGCTGGACCAGAATAAAAAAAAGGTTGATTCACTCAAATCCTTCAAAGAACATCAATGGGTTTTTGCATAAAGTTGAATAATATACTCCTATGAACATCCCATAATTTTGGTGGAAGTTTTAAAAAAACATTTAATTAGGTTGTAGTGCAAAATTGCCCACTGGACCAGATTTGAAAACTTGGTGTAGAGCTCAAAATCTCCAATGAACAGAAGAAAAATTTGCATAAAAGTGATTTAAAAATATCACATGACATCTCCAAATTTTGGTTGGAATTTTAAATAAATTTATCAAATGGTTGTAGTTCAAATAGAGCTCCAAAATTAATGAAAATTCACCTTAGGGAATAAAGCTCAGTGAAAAAATAATTATGCAAATAAATTCCACTGATAATAGAAATGTTTTTCTTGAAAGGGCAAACAAGTCCAATAATATATTTGGAAAGTTTTTCCACTTGAGGTAAAAACTCCATAATAATAAGGTAAAAAAAGGACCTGAAACCAAAAGAACATCCAGAAAATAAAAGTTTAAATTTCCTGGCAAAATTTTAATTAATAAAACAAGGTTAGAATTTTGGGGTGTCACAGCGGCCGAGAAGATAAGGAAGAGAGAAGCGGTTTGGCTGTCCCGTTTGGACACGTGGCACATGACGAAGGCGACTTAAGGAGACGAGAAATCAACCGGCTGAAAAGAAGAGTTTTCCTCAATGAAAGGTAAGACGTAAGAGCATCTCTAGCACACCTCATAAAACCGCGACCTGCATAAGGCGTTTACAGTTCGACGAAGAACTGTTTTGCGGGTCAAAATCGTGTGTGGCAGAGTAAAACATATACGGGGTCTGCTAGAGTTGCTCTAAAAGGGGATATGGAACCTTATATTTCTTTTAGGTAGTAGAGACTCCATCGAGTTTAGTTTCCCTGACGGTCCTCTAATTGTTTGATCCTACCAAGTCGCATGCTGACCGACTGTATACCTGCAACTGCAAGCATATACTCCCTCCGTTCCAAATTACTCGTCGTGGTTTTAGTTTAAATTTGCAGTTCCTAGCTCCGAGCTGCTATATACGTTGCCCAATTCCACCCGAGTGACCCTCATTGAGCTCGCCGATGTACCAAAACTTTTTTTATAGCGAGCACTATTAATTTTCTTATTTTTATTTCTCTTCTTGTGGTTTTTTGATTTTTAATTTTGGTTTTATAGAAAAACTAAGAAATTCATTTATTTTAAAGAAGTCATTTTTTCAATCGAATACTTTTTAAAAGACGCAAACATCTTTTAAAATTGCAAACTTTTTTTGTTTTTTATAAATAAGATTTTAACTAGAAAACGGTATTTAATTTAAATTTGAGTATTTAAAAAATAATTTGGGAACATTTTTTAGATGTGTACATGTTTCGAAAGCTTGAACCTTTTTAATATAAGAACATTTTATAAAATTTCTGAACATTTCTTAAATACATGAATAATTTATAACACGATCACTTTCAAAAATAGGAAGATTTTTTGAAATTATTAAGAAAACTAAAAACAAAAATACCGTAAAATTAAAGAAATAACAATAAAAATAGGCCCGGAACCTCTTTGAAGGTTCTCATTTCTCAAAAACATAGAAGAGGAACATATGAAAATTCCCAAAACCGGGGTCCTGGCTAAACGGGCCGGCCCATTATACTCGCTAGTTTCCTCCCCAGTTTTTCGGTTTCTTTTTTCCTTTCTTTTGTTCTTTTATTTATTTATTTTACATATACATGTTGACTTATTTTTAATACAGGTTCAAACTTATTCTTATAAAATGACATTTGTTAGATAAACGTTGAACATTTTGCAAATACATGTTGATCATTTTTATCTGAATACATATTGAACATCTGCCAAATGCACATTGTACATTTTTCATATACGAGTTGAACTTTATACAGATACATAGTGAACTTTTTTTGATCTTGCTAAAGTTTCTTAAATGAACACTGAATATTCTTTTAATTACACGGTGAATAGTTTTAAAAACTAATTGAACATTTTTTTTAAACGTCCAATTTTTTTTTTGCGTTCCACAAACATTTTTAGAATGTTGATAACTTTTTTTTGAATGGTACGAATTTTTTTCCAAATTTAAGTGAAAAAAATTCTACATTGTATGATCGATTTTTTAAAATGTCATGAACATTGTTGGAAAAACGTGAACATTTTCTAAATGTGATAAAATAATTGTTTTGTATGATACAAACATGTTTTACAAATTATCCGGAAACAAAATTATATTTTCACAACAGTTTTTTTTTAGCATCAGTACAGACACATAAAAAAAAGGGTACCTGGGCATGTTGGAAATATTCTATGTGGTGTAGGCCAGTCTAAGCAAAAAAGGAGCAGATCCTCCTCTATGGTGCTTCTTATGCAGCTCTAGTTATGGAAAACTCTATGTTGATAAGTGAGGGCATACAATATACATGGATAGGAGTCAGACATGGTGCTGATCTTCAACACATATAGTCCCTCCCTATGTGTCGTGGAGTGCTTTCCAAATACATGGTGTACTCGGTGAAAGTTCCTCCATTTGCAGTGTCGCTTCTCCCAGGATTGATATCTTGTCCTTGGTCCTTGGGCGGATTGGAAGGGTGATGAGGGACAAGCCATAGATAATTTGAATTATCATCGACACATACCAATCATTCTTTCAAGGCTTAATAAAAAGTGTATTTTAAGTCAAAAATTTGCAAAATCGATGAAGACATATGTTTTCGCTAGAAATTAAATCATGTGACTTGTTTTTAAAGAAAATGACCATTTGAGACATATTCGGAGATGAGAAAAGCTACATGCATCCACAAATATGTTGCAAATGGTCATACAATTTTTTATCAAAAAAATACAAAGTTTCTAATTCTACCTAATATCTATGTGTCTTGGTATTTTCCTGACAATACTTATCTCGGGTAGCACGCGCGCTGATGATCCAGATGTACACATAAGGAAAGATTTACCTATGTTTAGACCCTGGGACAATGGAAATTCCCTACTTTCTGCTTATCTGGATTGAGAGGATCTCCAACACACGCTCAATATTAGTGTCGCGCCCAAAAAATCACAAGTTTAGCGCGCGTGGACGCTGCATAATAAAGCATGCTGTAAAAAGTATTGAGCGCGTCGGAAGAAACTAGACCGAAAACTGTATATTTGGGGCGTGAGCTCCCGCGCGCTGAATTTCCCACGCACGCCGAAAAGTGCCCCATGCGCCTGCCGCTAGCCTCCTCGCGTGCGGCTGCCGGTAGCCTCCTCGCGTGCACGCGCCAGCCGGCCACGGGCGGCGGGGCGCGGGCGCGGCCATGGCCATGACGGCGGCATGAGCGGGGAGGAGCGCGGCCACGGCCACAGCAGGGCGGCGCGGCCACGGCAGGGCGGCGGCGGGCAGGGGAGGAGCACGGGCGGCGCCATGGCGGGGCGAGCAGGGAAGGAGCAGGCCATGGTGGCAGCGCGTGGCCACGGCGGGGCGGAGCGCGGCTGCAGGCCACAGCCATGGCGGCGAGCAGGCCACGGGCGGCGGCGCGTGGCCATGACCATGGCGGCGAGCATGCCACGGGCGGCGAGCTAGGTACGAGCATGTGCAGTGACGGAGGTAGAGGGTGGACAGGGTGAGCCGTGGCCCACCCTGAGATTTGAAAATAGCCTTTATACAATAAAAAAAAGCTAAAAATAAAAGGAAAACTAAATGTATATGTACAGCTACACTATTAGCCCACCCTGACCCAGTGGGCTAGGTCCGCCACTGAGCGTGTGTGATTAATTTTGGGCGTCTGCCATGTGTAAAGACTAAAGAGATACCGATCATGGTCCGTACCGAGCCTTATATAGGAGTATTCCTATGAAAACTACTTCGTGCTCTGCCACGTCGACATGGGTAGGTGGATAGGGAAGCTCTAGCAGAGACGACTCAGACGAGGGAAGCATCACAAGCTGCAGGAGAGATGAGAGTAGCAACACAAGTCCAAGGAGATGCAACCGTGCAAGGGAAGAAGGGATTCAAGAGATCAACTAATCTATTGATTAATTGGCGAGGTGGCTGTGAGATGATTCCTGAATTAGCTTCTTGGATGAGCCATGGAGGCCTAGCTCCTAGAAACCAATAACAAAAAAACATTTTTCTTGCTTAAATTCATCCAAACACTTTTTTTTTTACTTTTTTGCATCGGATCCCAACACATTATTGTGCACCAAACATTACATACAAATACAACAACACAAATACATGCATACCCACTTGAGCTTATACGATAACCACATTTCATAATCTCCCCGCAGCTTCTTGGCCAGGGAGGCAAATTAACGGCCGCGGCAGCCGAAGATGGCCTGGCAGCCGCTACCGGTGTAGGGCTGCCCCCGGCCAGCGCAGGAGCCGGAGCACGCCGGCCTGCTCGCCTGCACCCCTTTGTAGCTGATGTACTGGTCGCCGTAAAGCACCCTCCTCCGCGGGTACGCCGCCTCCTCGCGCTCCGCGAAGCCCACGTCGTCGTCCTCGATGCCGCGTAGCGTGGGCACCGGTATCGCGTGGGTGGTGCCGGCGAGGACGCCGCAGCTCATGATCATCGTTGCGGTGATGGAAGCCAGGAGGAGTAGTTGGGTTTGCAGCTTCATTGTCTCTGCTTCAAGTGGTGCTGCTTCAGTGTGGCCTGTGATTCAAAGAGGAGGAGTATATATCACCCAGGGTGAGGATCCTTCCCTTGATAATGAGCGGTAGCACTGTTGCGTCAATTATAGATAGAGGAGATGGTTCAGGATGTAGGTGGTTGAGGGAACTCTTTTTTTCTCTTTGCGGATAAAATTTTCATCTAATCATATAGGGTACAGGGTATGAATCATATATAGAAATGATGGGACATAGTTTATCGAATGGATGAGGGAACTCCAACAGCAGCGACACGCCTAACATTGCATGTGATGCTAGACGACACGATCGATGGCGTCCCGCGGGTGCGTGTCCGGTCACCGGCGTGACAGACGAGGCTATTTTTGCGAACAAAAAGGTCCACAGCAGAGTTAAATCGCCCAAACCGCCAGCAAGCAAAACATTTTTATTTTCGATGGGACCAGGTGGCAAAACTAACACTAACGCTACCTCACAGGGCAACAGAATTTAAAGTTTTCAATCCACCACTACCCTCAAATCCCCAGTATCCGTCCGGACCAGCCTTACATTTTCTTGCAGATTTCTAATGTGTATGCTTTTTTTACCGGCATAATACAGTATATGCTTGTATCGGTTAAATTCATCAAAAAAATGTATATGTCTTTCTTTTTTAGGGTAAAAAAAAATGTATATGTCTAGCGGTAAAGCCCGGGGTTCATATATTGTTAAGAAAATATCGAATTGTTGGTCGAACGATGACATGTATAAATTGACTGTTTCCTACTGTATTTCATAGTCGTCGGTTGAGAAATATAAAAATGTTCGATCGATTTAAGTATATAGCCAACGGACCTACATTGAGGTCCATGTTTTTTTTTTAGAAATGTTCTCCCTATTTCACTCGCAAAATGAAAAATGATTTTTTTCTGTACTTTAGTTTTCCTTTTCTTGTGTGTGTACCTTCTCTTGCCACGCTCCACGCCACATGGCAGGCTCCGGCGAATGCTTGCGGTGCGGGTTGCATGCATGCAGAAGGATGGATGAAAAAACAGATCCAACCGCTCAGAAAAAAGGAAGGGATGAGGTAGGACTCACACAAAGATTGAGTTCATCGGTCCACCTTGGAGCACCAGCGATCGGCGGTGTTGGCTGGAGCGGCCGAAAGGCACGCGCGTGTCTCCGACGTGCCACTATATCCACGTCCAGAGTCCCGAAAGACACATGCATCCAGATCCAGGTAGATAGATCGTGCATGCACGATCATTTTCCTAGCTAGACACTCCTACACGCAAGGCTTATTGTACAAGTCTATAAGTACCTGAGGAGCATAGCAGAGTTCTTGGCACACAGCATATATCATGGCACTCCAAGCTCAGCTTGAGCTCTACCACCACGCCATGGCCTTTGTCAGGTCCGCGGCGCTCAAGGCGGCCGTGGACCTACGCATCTCCGACGCCATCCACCGCCGTGGAGGTGCCGCCACCTTGTCCGAAGTTGCCACTGAGACCAGGGTCCAACCGACGAAGCTTTCCCATCTCCGTCGGCTTATGCGCGTCCTCACCACTTTCGGCATCTTCTCCGTCGACCAAGGCCGCCACGCCGATGCCGACGACGTGCGTTACAAGCTCACCCCTGTCTCCCGCCTCCTCGTGGGGGACTACAACCAGTCTCCCATCGTGCGTCTGTTTTTAGACCCGTCGTACGTGACCGCTCTCTGCGGCATAGCAGAGTGGTTCACCGACGAGCGGGCGTCCGCTCGCACGCTCTTCGAGGTGGCGCACGGGTGCACGCGAGATGAGATGGTAGCAAGGATGGACACGCGCGGGGAGTACAATGTCGGTGTGGCCGCCGATAGCCGCCTCGTCATGGAGGTCGTCCTCAAGGAGCACCGCGGCATCTTCGAGGGCATGAGCTCCCTCGTCGACGCCGGCGGTGCCCATGGTGCCGCGGCGGAAGCCATCGCCAAGGCGTTCCCCCACATCAAGTGCACCGTGCTTGATCTCCCACACGCGATCGCAGGGGCACCTGCCATCGAAAACGTCCAGTTTGTCGCCGGCGATTTGTTTGAGTACGTGCCACCTGCCGACGTTGTTCTACTCAAGGTAATGTACACGTACGTACAACATGTGTCTTCTTTCTTCCTTCAACTTCTTTTTTGAGGGGGTCGTTCAACTATTACATACGCACGTGTGCGTCTTCTTCCTTTTCTCCAGTGGGTTATGTGCTTGTGGCAAGATGAAGATGCCGTCAAGGTGCTACGACGGTGCAAAGAAGCCATAACAACCGGTAGAAGCGACGGAGGGAAGGTGATAATCATCGACGTCGTGATAGGCTCCGGGGTGTCGCGGGACGAAGTTCTTCTCAAGGAGATGCAGGTTCTGTATGATGTCTTCATGATGCGTGTTGACGGGACCGATCGAGACGAGCATCAGTGGAGGAAGATTCTCTTTGAGGCCGGCTTCAAGGACTACAAGATCACTCCAATGCTTGGATATCGGTCCATCATTGAAGTCTACCCTTAAAACACGTGCCTGCCAAAATAGGAATAAATAAATAAGATAAATAAGCAGGATGTACTGTTTGATGTGGTACGTTCATGCTATCGATCGAATAATGTCTGTTTACACAATAATGTCTTCATGGTCGTGTTTTCTAAAGGTTAGAAAATCATCAATAGTGTTCCTGCCTGTAACCGTAAGACAATCGGAGAATTTTCTTTCTGCTAAAAGACGCAATCTGTAACACCCCGTATGTAACTTATTATATTTGTACTATAACTTTTGCCATTTTCGGCTCTGAGTTATGTTATTCCCTTATGGTTGGGTTTTATCTTCGTTTTGCATTTTGTCCATGTCATGTATTTCATATCATGTCATCATATGCATCTCATTTGCATACGTGTTCGTCTCATGAATCCGAGCATTTTTTCCCGTTGTCGTTTTGCAATCCGGCACTCCTACGTCCTCTGGCGCCCCCTTTTGCCTCTTTTCGTGAGCGGTTGTTAAACAATCTCGGAATGAACCGAGATTTGCCAAGCGGCTTTGGTACACCACCAGTAGACCGTCTGTCAAGTTTCGTGCCATTTGGAGTCCATTTGATACTCCAACGGTTAACTGAGGAACCGTAAAGGCCTCGTGTGTGTTGCAGCCCAACACCCCTCCAAAGTGGCACAATAACCCATCCAAAACCCATCCATCCTCTCGGCCGTTCGATCATGATCGCGTGGCCGAAAACCACACCTCATTTGGACTCTCCTAGCTCCCTCTACCTATATATTTGCACATCCCCCCGAAAATTCGTAGTCCAAAACCCTAATTTCATTCCCCGCCGCCGCCGGACACGTTCGGGCGGAGCCGAACATGTCCACCACCGCCGCCTGACCTACCAGGGGCTGCCACGTGTCGCGGCACCGCCTCCCACCGCCGCCGGCCCGCTCGGCCCGTGCGGGGCCCCCGCGGCCCGCCCGCGCCGCGTCCCTCCATCGCCCGCGCCCCCGCGCAAGGAGCCGCGCCGCCCCGGGCCTCCTCCGCCGGCCACCGCCGCCCCACGCCAAGTCCCGCGCCGCCGCCTTCGTCTGCCACCGCTGCCGCGGGAGCCGCCCCCCTCTCCGGCCACCTTCGCCCCAACACCAGATCCGGCGAGACCCCGCAGCTCCGGCCATCTTCTCCGTCTACCGCCTCGTCTTCAATTCCGGTGAGAACCGCTACTCCGGCGAACCTCGGCTTCCGTGGGCCAGATCTGGATCTGAGAACCCTAGGGTTGACCCCTGTTTTTTTCCTCTAAGTCTTTTTTTCTACATTCTGAAGCTCTGTTCATTGTATCATAACTCTGTCATCGTAGCTCCGTTTATTGTGCATAATATATCAAATTGTTCATCTGGTTGTGCTCTTCATTTTGTTCCTTTGTGCCATGCTTGTTTGGGTCCATCTTGTTGCCCAAATTGTTGATGCAAGAGTGCTATAAATTGTTAGGTGCTGATTCTTAATAGATCTTGAGCATTTGTCATTTTTGCCATGATTATTGTGTGCTACATATGGGCATGAGCTCTACATGTGTTTTTGGCTATGCCATGCCATATTTACAGGGGTGTATGCCATGTATTTTTTGTGATCAATGTGGTGACTAGCACATGCATGCAAAGTAGCTCTCGTGTTATTGCTGATTTCAGGGACTTAGAATTTCACTGTCATTTCCCTGCTGTTATTTTTAATGCCATGTATTCATGTTGCTACAGAGAGATCCATGCTTCTTTTGAGTATGTTCAGTAAGGATGATTTTGACATATGGTTATGCTCTATCCATCCATGCTCCTGTTTGAATTTATGGAGTGCCCTAGCATGACTCAATCTTGCTCTACTTTTGCTATAAAATGTTCCTGGCAGGTTGTTTGCGTGTTAATCAATTTTGCCAAGGTTGTTGTAGTTGATCCATGCATGCTATGAGTTTGTTCTTTCTTTGGTTAGCTTCATGAACTTGTCTTCTTGCTGGTAGTATTCTTAGCTTGTCATGCAATGACTTGTGTTGAGTGAATCGAGCTCGCAAACATGCCTTCATAACTCTGTTTTTGCCATGTCCAGTTTTTCTGCTAAGTCTGAATCTGTTAACGAAACTTGCTATGTTTACATGGGTACCATCATATTTTCTGTGCTCTTCTGGCTTATGGTCAATAAGGGACTTTTGTTATATGCTTTGAGTAGATTCATGCCATGCCTTTGTTTGCTATGTTCTGTTCCTGTAGCATGTTTTTATCTTACTCTAACATTGCTTCCTGATGTTAATTCCTGGCATGTTAGTATTTTCACTAAGTCTGTGAAGCTGATATCTTTTGCCCGTTTGCCATGCTTGTTTGAACATGCTATTTTGTGATTTAGCCGTAGCTCAGTGTTCATTTTTTGTCAAGCATCTTGAGTAGATCACTGCCATGTGCTTTGTTACTATATTAGAGTGCAGTAGCTTAGTTTCTTGTTGCATTTTACATGGCATCGTGATGTTAATCGCAGAATTGTGT